TTCGTGTGTGTGTGTGTGTGTGTGTGTGTGTGTGTGTGCGTGTGTAGTTGCGTATGCGTATGCGTGTGTGCATGCTCGTTCGTGTATAGGCCCTAACTGTATATTATCATGTGTGAACTTTAAGGTGATTTTGTGTCTTCTAGCTTTCATAGACGCCTGTGTGTTTACTATCATTCTATCGCTTCCATATTATACGCCTGAACACTAAATTGTAACTTATTTCACGCGCCTCGCACCCCCCCCCCTCCTCGAAAAAACCGTTCGGTACCTCCAGCGTCTGTTTGTTTGTCTGTGTGCCTGTGTGCCAGTGTGTCGCTCTATCTATGTGTCTGTGTGTTTGTCTGTCTGTCTGTCTGTTGAATGTTCTTCCTTTTATAATACTACAACATGTTACTTTTCGCTCGTGCGTTCATGCGAGCGAGTGTTCCTGGGTGTTTGTTCCCTCTTCCACTAGCTTTTAGGGACAACAACCTCGAATGCCCGTAACCCAGCTTGCAAATAAATAGAAGTAATGAGAGTTCACTCCCCGTTTCAACCCGTCTCATTTTTCGAGTTCCATTAGATAACTTCCACTAGAATTCCTATCGAGTTCCTCGTCCCATATCAAAAATGTAAATGGGAATGAGCTTGTCTCCCTCGCCATGACCCCAACCTTTGAAAGATCATCCAGGCATTAAAAGATTATTGTTGTTCCATTATTATACGTGTATGTTCTTAGAGGCCGCACCGGTGTCTATTTTGAATATTTTTTTCTCTAAATATATCGTATTTCAAAAAGTGATGTATATCTTGACTGTGTTCTTTCAGTAAAATATACCGTCAGAGGAAGAAGAGGAAGAATATTTCTGCAACGATCCGAAAAATAACGACAATTACTCCTTGGAAATGGCGGAAAACAAGCAGGCGAAGGGGTGACGTCACAACGCCGATGACGCCAACCACATCCGAGGAGCATGACGGGAAAACGTCACCGACTTCGAAGATCCCTACCAAGAAGAAGCGACCTCATAAAAACAGACGCCGGTGGCGAAAACTACAGAGGCTACACAGGAGGAGGGGCGGGAAAAAGCAACGAAGAAAACACTGGAAACGTAGAAAAACAAAATCGTCAAGCTCTGTGAAATCAAATACCAAGTCAAAAAAGAACAGAAATAATTTTGAAGTAGTTGTAACAAGAACGTCAGAACAAGGTAATAGTAATAATGTAACTAACTCGAGTTCTGAAGAAACAATATTCATTTCACCCTTAGAAGAAACAAGAACGGCAGCGAAGAATTTATCCACACCTCTTCCTGCATCAGTAGTTTCGGTGACACCACCGACAGACCCTACCATAAAGACAAGAATTGAACATACCTCGGATTTTGACTCGGTTCGAAAGCAAGAAAACGCATTGGCATCCCCGAAAAATGTAAACCGACCTAGATCGACAACTGAGACAACAACATCCACTCCAACACCCACTTCAACTCCTGGCGTTACCGGACCTTCCGGTTTTCTATGGAGGTCTGGCTTCAACAACAGGGCGCCTCGTAAGTACTCACGTCGTCACAGACAACACACTCCCGGTTCATTGCATGCGCCGTTAATTAACATATCGACAATAGCAGCTACGATCTCACCTCCGCCTCCTATTCCACCCATAGCAGTAACAGAAACCTCATCAACGTTCAAAGTTTCTTCGTCAACTGTCTTAAAAGATCTCAAGGAGCGAGCTGAAAAGTTTAATTCGACGTCGGATGAAACGGGACTGAGAGCGTCGTCACGTCGCGGTACACTTCAAAGCCATAGTGTTACTTCACCAAAACCGCGCCTTCCGCCGCCTTCTGGGGGTTTGTTAGCAACTACGACTGCACCACAACCAGCATCAGCTGAAACAGCAACAATCGCAACTTCAGCCGGCGCTGTAGGACATATTAATACACCAGTATTACCACACTCAACAGCAACATCAAACGATTTCGATTTAAGAAACAGAGCTTCCCAAAACCGTATGTTTCCAGTAACTTCAGATGTGTCGCCACCACACACAACCCCCTCCATTACGAGTCCGGCACCTGTAGAGGCAGTGCTAGGTAAAAAGAAACCCATCGTCACAACAACAAACCAAGCAATGTACGTGGAGTCTTCTACACAATCCTCCCTTGACCTGAAGTCATCGCCGATAACACACACTAAATTTGTCAGAGGTCAAGGACCTTATGGTGGGGCAGCTGACCAAACGTCATCAATCCCAGAAGCCACCCAGAAAACACCCACGACCCCAACGGCTGAAGTGGGCGAGAACTCATCTACGTCATCAAAACTGGACAACGTCACTGCTGGACTTTTGACAACTAGGGAAATGGCAACGGTTGGTCAAAGCTATCTATATATCTATCTGTCTATCTATCTATCTATCTATCTATCTATCTATCTCTCTATCTCTCTATCTCTCTCTCTCTCTCTCTCTCTATCTATCTATC